AAAAGTGATGGTATTTTTCTCTCTTATATATAAAAAAAATATACTATTGATATAATTTCTTTTAGAGTAAAAAGGTGAGGACAATGTCCGATGATCCGACTAATTTACTTAAAAGGAATGACCGCACAAAGGTTGGAAGAATGCTGAGGATACTTTTCCGATGATGCGAATACTTTTTTGTCAAATCTCTAAAAAAAATAAGTCTAGGGGAGAGAAAGATTACCAAAAAAATGTGAAAATGGTTGATTTATGGGAGATTGACACAAATAGCCCCCAAAAAGTTGTTTTTTCCAAAAATAGCACCTCATTTGAAAAGTTCCACAAATAGCACCATAAACTTCGATTAAACTTAATTAAAATATAAGATAGAATATTAAAAAGAGAGCAAACACTAATCTAATATTAAATTGAATCAAAATTGTTTTTAAATAGTGGAAATATATACCCTAATTTGGAAATAGGGAACCCAAATATAATACCACAAACTAATATTAAAATAAAAATCTATTCTAAATGGTGAAAATATATACCCTAAATTGGAAATAGGGAACCCAAATATAATACCATAAACTAATATTAAAATGAATCAAAATCTCTTTTAAATGGTGGAAATATATACCCTAAATTGGAAATAGAGAACCCAAATATAATATTTTAAATTTATTTTGTTGAATAGCTTTTATATAAAATTTGTGGTATTATTGAAAAAAAAAAGCTAGTGATAAAATTTTTAGAACAAAAACACTAATAGTAAGTTAACTAGTGCTATTTTTGGAAGTTTATTGAGTGTGTGCTATTATTGTCAATAAAACTTGTTTTAGGGCCATTTTTAGAAATTTCTCTTGATTTATCATGGTGTATATATATATATTGTCTTTCTCTTTAGACCTTTAGCTTTCAGAGATTGATTTTGTCATTTTATTGCGAACTTTCCATACTCATTTATTTTATTTTATTTTTATTTTTTATTTTGTTTCTATTTTAAATAATTCAATGTTGCAATTGTGCTCTTTCTACCTATTCTGATAATTTGAAAATAATTCTTTTTTGTTTTTAATAAGTTCATAATGTTTGTATTACTATCAAATACATTTATACATTTACTTTCATAATTTCTTATATTATATTAATGAAAAGCTAAAAATTAAAAGTACACATAATTATATTTTTAGTTTTGCTGTCAATTTTAAATATATTATAAACGATAATATTTAGCTATATTTTGATATTTTGTTTAGTTTCACTTATAAACTAATTAACTATCATTTTAATTAGTAATTTGTCATAAGATTCATGATTATATATATTTTACTGAAAATGAAAAATGTATGAAATTTCAACTTTCATACAATTTTAGAACTACAAAAGATATTGATTTATAAATATGTCATAAGATTCATCATTATATGTTTTTCTTGAAAATTGAAAAATGTATAACCTTTCAACTTTCATAGAACTTTATAAATACCTAACATATTAATTTTTAATATATCAATTTTATAACAGAAATGTTTCTAAAATTTTATATATGAATAATCTTAAAGATTTTTTCACTAAAATTCAAATTATATTATTACGTATAACATATTTCATAGTTTTTTTACTTAATATATCAATTTAAAAATTGAAATGTTTCTAAAATTTTATATATGATCAATCTTAAACACTTTTTCGCTAAAGTTCAAATTATATTTTTACATATAACATATATCATAGTTTTCTACTTATAATATAAATTCATTTGTCTTTAACTTAAAATTTTTAATCATAAATAACAATAAATATAAATAAGTATGTATTAAATTAAAATTTTATATAAATTTTAGTTTATAAATTTAATTAAATAGACGCTTAGGTAGACGCTGATGCGGATGCTGATGTGGATAGCTTAGATGGAGAGAAAACTATCTCATTATATATATATAGATTATCATTATTTTGGTAATTTTTAACCATAAAACAAAAACTAAAAATTAAAATAGATTAAAATGTTTTGAAAGATAATTATGTATAAAAGCCAAAAACTGAAATAATTACTATTCAAGATTTTGCAAAAACTAAAATCTACACCAAAAATCAAAAACCAAAATCCAAAAACTAAAAACCAATAAAGAAACAACAAAGCATTCAGGTCCTTAGTTATCATTTAGAGATTTTTAAGGAATGTAATAGAATTGGATTGAATAGAATTAAATACATCAATTAGAGATTTTTAAGGAATGTGAACAGATTTTCAAATCCAATAAATTCTATTAAATTCTATTAAATCCATTAAATTTTAAGGAATGAAATTCTATTAAATTCTGTCAAATTCATTGGTTCAATAACCCCCTTATAAGTGCGAACTAAGTACGAAGAGTGCTCCGAAAAATCCTCCTCAAGAAAGAGAAAATGCTCCGAACCTAGCGAAATGAAGAATGTGAGTGTTTATTTTCTTTTGAAAAGAATCAAAGTAACCCAGAAATTGATTTATAAATGTTTTTTTTTTAGAGATCAAAATCAAAATTGAAGAGAGATTGTCGAAGAATCCGAGTAATTAGCGATTACAAGAATGCTCCCATTCTCCCTCATGGCTTTGACGTTACTCTACTGATCCCCATGTTTCAAGGCCATCTCCAATCTCATGGCTACTGGGGAGAAATTTCTGTTGAGTTTGTTGTATCAGATGGAACAGCTCCCGCTAAGATTAACTCGAATACCGACGACAACTTAGAGGCTGAACAGGATAGAGACGGACAACTCTTTCTTACCGATTTAGAAAAACGTGAGTTCATTTCCTTTGATTCAATTCTTTATTTGATAGTGATTAAATCTGTTGAAAATGATTAAAGTTTATCTTGTTAATTCTTCAGCTGACACCAAACAAGCATCGGACGATTACATCAACTTAACGATGACGGATTGGCTTGATTTATATGACAATGAACTGATTGGCTCTATGTCCAAAATGGCAAAGACGAAGGTGGATTTTCAAAATCCACCAAATCCTCTTCCATAGTGGTGGTTAGCTTGAACTGTCAAGGACTTGGAAGCACCATTAGAGTTCCAAGATTAAAGGAGATTCGCACAGAATTCTTCCCAAACATTCTGTTTCTCATGGAAACCAAAAATCAAGATAATGTTGTTTTTCATGTATTTCAATCGATGGGGTTTGTTAATAAATTTACAGTGCCTCCACAAAGTCTGAGTGGAGGGCTAGCTTTATTTTGGAAGGATGATGTGAAGATTGATATTCTCTCTTCTTCTCAGAACTTCATTGACACGAAGTTAAAATTCCAGCAAGTTGAGTCTTTCATTACTTTCATGTATGGAGCTCCACAAGTGGAGAATAGAGTAGGACGGGATTTCTGCTCCAGGAGCTGCTAGAGATGAAGCCCGACTCTTAACAGGCGATTTTAGCGAGATTCTAGAGAACACCGATGTAACGCCCCGACCGTCCCTACCAGTGGGCCCCACGTCCTCTCTCGGGCCCATGGGCCTACTCATGTCCGACGGCCGGTCCGCTACGTCCGAGAGGCTTTAAAGACTTGTTTACCGACCATACAAATCACATCATGATCTTTCCCTGTGTTTTGTCCTCACTCACACAGTTCCGACAATCACTTCCCAGAAGGTCACCCATCCTGAAACTACTCCAGCCCAAGGACAGTTGACCGAACAGATAAGTGCACTTTTGTGACATAGGTGGCCAAATCAATTCTTTTAAACCTCTCCGCATGCACCACCATATTTCTGAAACCAGGGTGTTACAACCGAAAAGGAGGGCGGACCAGTTAGAGCTGAGGGTTCTTTCATACCTTTCCGTAGTTTCTTATCCGAAAACAGGCTATGGGACGTTCAACATTTAGGTAAATATGCTCTCCTAGCGAGTACAAAGGCATTCTCATTTCATCCTCTCTAGGTTGGATAGGTCTCTTGCAAACATAGCCTGGTAAGAAAAGTTTCCCTTAGGGAGATGTAGGTACCTTCGCTTCGAAGGTTCAGACCACAAGCCGCTTATTACTTACTTTGGTCCCACAAAGGTTAAAGTTAAAGGTTTGTTCTGATTCGATAGAAGGCTCAGAGGAAAGGAAGAAATAAGGAATCTAGTCTCAGATGCTTGGAGAGCCAGAGAATCAGGGACTCTGTTAGCAAAGTTTAATCGGTGCAGTCGAGAGTTGATCTCTTGGACAAAAGAGCAAATACAATTAAAAGTACAAGCTATTAAAAATGACCAAGAAGCCCTTGAATCTGCATTATCAGCGTTAGTGCCTGATAATGATTTGATAAGCGTGCTCACGGCTAGCCTTGATGCAGCCTACGTAGAAGAGGAATCTCTATGGCGTCAAAGAAGCAGAATTTTAAGGTTGCAGGAAAGAGATAAGAACACTAGTTTCTTCCATGCTGTAACAAGAAGAAGGAAAGCTATGAATCACTTCTCAGTGATAGAAGATGATGATGGACTTGAATTGTTTGAAGAAAAACAAATAGCTGCGTCAGTCTCGGCCTTTTATGAAAAGCTTTTCACGTCAACTTCTAGTAGGCAATTTGAGGTTGTGGAGGAAGCAATCCAGCCACAGATCACTGACTACATGAACACTAAGCTTACAGCCATGCCAAACGAAAAAGAGATCCATGATGCAGTCTTAGATAATCATGCTGACAAAGCTCCCGGGCCAGACGGTTTTTCTGCAGGTTTTTACCACTCTTTCTGGGAGATAATTGGCAAAGAGGTCTCAAGAGAGATATTGGTTTCATATCATGAATACGCTTATTCTTGTTATTAATTTGGCCATAGTTCCCGGAAAGAATCATGTGACCTCTTTGCAAGATTTTAATTAAAAACTAGGCTATCTATGATCCCCTAACAGCCGATGGTAGCAAAACTAGACAGCCTAATTAATCAGCTCATCAAGAAATTCTTTGTCTAGTTAATCATTTATGTATGCCTTGTTTGCTATAACATCCCATATCGGTTGTTTCAACACAACTCTTATGCATCCACATGACACACATAGCTTGTCCCTTCGGGGGCATCTGTTAAAAATGGAACGATACAGAGAAGATTCGCATGGCCCCTGCGCAAGGATGACATGCACAAATCGAGAAATTAAAGATCCAAAATTTTTTTTTCTCTTTTTCAAACAGAAAATAACAATGTCAAGAGCTATTGTAATCTTCACACATTTTTGTAGGTACCCTTAGTATATATAAATACTTTTTGTTGAAGCTATATATGAGCTATTGTAATCTTCAGAAATGATAATCGCAAGTTACAAAATGGTCATGGTCGACGAAAGCAGCTGATTCTATGCTCCACTTACGTACCAAACTCAGGAAGGTCATATGGGTTCTCTAGATCTTGAGAGTCTAACGTGAAAACATTAATTTATTAAATAAGTACTAGTTATATCATAAGATGCTTGTTTTGGCCTTATGGCTTCACTAAGGGATCCATTGTTTCACTTTATCTGAGAATGAGTAATTGTGCTCTGTTTTTTACACCTTCTTTTTTGGCAGAGCTCAAACGTTTAGGTCTTAACCCATGTAACACCTATTTTTCATTTTATATGATATTTACAAGTTTAGCAAAAAAAAAAAAAATTAATCATAAAATATCTATACGATACAATGATATGATTCAATGAAATAAGAACCAATATAGATAGTTGAAATTAAATAGTTTTCATTTAGCTAAGCTATACGATTCAATTATATGTGAGTGTGTACTTAGATAAATGTATTTAAAGCAAATGATGCATCCCCTGATTATTTATTCAAATTCATAGTCTTGATAGTTGTTGATGAATAGTCATTCTTTCTTGCTAAAATTTGTTTCCCCACAACCAAATCTAACCGTGGGTACTTCGGGAAGAACTGATCAGAGCAGCGACGGGCCCAATAAAGGCGGCGTTGATGTAAGTTGTGGGCTCTGCATGAGAATAATCTGTTCTTTTGTCGCTATACTGGTCGGATGAATTCGGTCCGCCAACGATTGCACCGGTATGGACATTCGGGTTCGGTGTATCAGAATTGTAGTATGAATATCCTCCATTGCAGTCGATTTTCTCCGGTTTAGATTGGATTGACGGTAATGAAGAGCTTCTATGATGAGGTTGTGTTGGGTACTTTGTTCCAAATCCAACCATGTAAGACATTTTCAATGGATTATTTCCAAGAATGTAATCAACCTGAATATTAAACCGGTTGGTTAAGAACATGGAAATGGTGTACAGAACCGGACTAGGTGGGGATAATTAATTTCATTACCTGTGATTTGGCGAAATTTCGAATTTGAGATACGGTGAACTGGGTCGAACCGCACTGGATTGAACCAACCCGGGCTTTGGTAAGAGTTTTTGAGTAATGGAACAAAACAGTTGTAGCCGTTGTTACATATTGTAAGTTGCTACTGTCTCTAATAAACAAAATGCCACCTGAATAAACAAAAAGTACAAATAAATGTTACCATAAAACCAACACTAAAGGGACAAAAAGAACTCAAAACTAATTAACCGGTGAAAATTACCAGGAGTTGGCTTAATTTGTTGAGTGCTACTTCCTGGCATCAATGCACAGACGAATGATTCAACATCGGTCTTAAATTTTTCCAAGTCATTTGCCCCGTTGTAAAACTCCTTAATATAAGAAAATAACAAGAAATATTAATTTAGATCAACTAATTAATGTTATAGAATTTAGCAAAATCGGTTTAGTTAATACTCCCTTCTTTTTAAATTAGTTGTCGTTTAAGGTTTTTTCACGCTTATTAAGAGAACATTCAATTTTTCTGTTTTACCTCTAACTAATGTAATGTTTTACTATATGATATCATCAATTAATATGCTAAGAGATTAGAGATTAAATTGAAAAATTTGTCAAAATTATGCATTAAAAATTTTAAACGACAACTAATTTGAAACAAAATTTATCTTCTAAAATGACAACTAATTTAAAACGGAGGGAGTATATACTAACCGATGCGAGTAAAGCTTGAACGCCGGCGAATTTGTTGTCCCAGCTAAATTCATTCACGGCTTGGCTCCAATCTTTATTGCTTATAACATAATTTAAGTAACTCTTTTCCCCTGTTGCTTTATATAACCAAGTCGCAGCCCACAAAAGTTCATCCTATTTTTACCCCAAAATTTTTTAAAACACAAAGTGTCTTGTTAAGTAACTCATTTACGTAGACATGAAAATATATCTATGTGTATCAGTTTAATTACCTGATAGCCTGAGTGTGAGCAGTAGAAGGGGCAAGATGCTTGGTAAGAACCTCTGTACTTATCCGCAAATTCGAATAGCTGCGACAAAATAGATAATTTATACGTTACCTTATGATTGAATTGATGTAATGATTTTTTATGGACTTAATATGAATATATACTCACGGATTTAGCATGGTTGAGTAACTTGGATGAATAAGTAGAATCAACCGGTTTGAAAACAAGTGAGGCCGCGGCAAGAGCGGCTGCGGCTTCACCCGCGGCTTCGGAACCGGGGGAAGAGGAAGAGATACTGTAGAGAGTTCTAGGTGTGTCCATATCTTCTGGCCTCTCCCAACAACTATGATCTGAATTTCCATCTCCCACCTTTTTTATAAAACATGTAACAAAAAATAATTACTCGAATTTCGATAGTGAATTTGTTGAATATTATAGAGGTATATAGTATATAAGACACGAGATATATACTGTATTTTGGATATTCAGCATGAAATGAAATATTTTGGAATAATTCTCAAACAAACCAAAGTTCGGCTTGGTTTAGACGTGTAAACCGGGAGGGGAAAGTTGGTTTACCTGTGTATATAGCATGTTGGGCGAAGTATGAGCGCGGAGGATAAAATTGGTTCCCCATTTGATAGTAGACCGGAGATAACCAAGCTGGTTAACGGAAGTAATTTCATTTTGGTATTCAATTGCAGCCCAACTCAACAAGGTTGTGGTAAATGACATTGGCCACACAAATTTTACATTGTCACCAGCATCATAATATCCTCCAATCAAATTCACCTGGAAGATAAAAAACACATGAAAATTGGTTAAGTCTAAGAGATAGCATAATGCCAAAACTTATGAAATAAGGTTCCAAATATATGCATATAGAGATGTTTATGAATATAATCGGTTTACATTAGCTGATGCACCGTCAGAGAGGGCAGAATCAGCTCGCCATTTAACCCGTTGGTTAGTCGGGATTTTACCGGATCTTTGGCCTTCAAAGAACAAGATTGACTTGTTTAGTGCATCTCCATAGTCAAGAGCTTCCAAGCTTTTGAAAGACAAGAACATCCCAACTAACATTAACATCAAGAGCTTGCCCATTTTTATTCTGTTTTTAGAAATGTTTCTCTTTCGAAATGGGTTTTGAGTGTGTCTTGATTTTGCATGAAATATGGTTCATGAGGGTATTTATAGATTTCCCATGCAAGTAAAGTTAGGTACGTAAATTTATTTCATGAGATGTTTCACGTAATTTTAGGGTAATTTTTGGCTGCACTGTTAATATGTTCTCTAACAATAATTAAGTTTCGATGATTACAATTAAAGATTTTCGATATAGCAAGTTGTAGTTATTGACATTTCACATCGTATCCTTTTTTTCTAACCTCCATACTTTATTTTTTCTTTTCCATCTGTGGAGGTTTATAAATCGTTATTTATTAGTGTTAATATAATTTCATTAGAAAGGCGCGGTTCTGGTTCATTTACAGCAAAACAAAAAAATATCGAATCACTACTTAAGTTTTTAAATGGTTTTTTTTTGTTATTGTTGTTTTTTCTTGAAACTGATAAACAATATGTTACTGTAAAACCTATATCAATTTAAATCGGCTTCTTAAGAAACAAATACTTATTATAGGTTTTTGTAGTATCCAGAAATTTGGAAGGTCTTACGCAAATATATTGTTGTAGAAATGTAAAAATACTTCGTAATTAACGATCCAAAATTGTGTATATGTATGTATCAGAAACTTGACTTTTTTTTTTTTTTTTTTTTGTCAACCACACATTAATTAATAAGAAACTCCTTGATTGGTTGCCCAATTAGGAGGAGTAGAGTCTACAAAAGAAATTTCAGAAAATAAAAGTCTAGAAGAACGGGGGGTCTAAGACTCAAAATCAAATACGCTGATTTCATACCTAGACTTTTGGATATACAAGCAAAATAAGTTTCCCATCGGAGTTCGACTCCACTAAATCGCGTTTCCCCGCGTAGTAGGGATTGACTATGGATCGGATCTTGTCGATCCAAAGATGTAAAAAAAAAAGGTCAAATAATTAAAAACCCCATATTTTTCATTTATCCCAAAATCCAAGTTCGCCAAGATAAACAAAGAAATATTTCACATGATCGAAAAGAAAAACAAACTTCATTTCCTAATCCTTAGTATAATTTACTTTATTAACAAAAATTCAATTGAACATTTGCTACTTATCTACTCCTATTTCTACTAAAATTAAACATTGGAAGTGAGCAAATAGGTTCACTTAGCTTGGATAATGGTTAAATAAAAATTTGATCTAAAAACCAAAGCAATCATATTTAGTTGTGAAAACGCAAACTATCATTTTTCACGTGTGAGAATACTGATTGATCCTGGGACTAGTTTTAGTGATATGGAGATGCCGTGCCGTAGAAATGGTTGTATAAAATATTTCAGCACCCATTCCTCAAAACGTCAATGTTAGATTTTGCCGTTGGTTTTATTTTGTTTTCAGTTGTCATTATAAACTTACTTCAGTTATTAGTTATTTTTTGTTGTTCACGTTTTCGTGCTAAGTGCAAACCTATTGCACAAATTTCTTGCGTGTTCACTGTATTTATGTTTTTAATTCCTCTCTTGTTGTTGGTTTTCATGAAATAGAATGGAACTCAACTAGGGAGTAGGGACGGTATATATTGGATGTACGCTATAGTTATCCTAAACTGAATTTTTTCTCTAATTGATCAATTGGTGGTGATTGACGTTATTTCGATGAGTTTAAAAATTAGTTCCGTAAGTGTTTAATTCAATAAAAAAAGTTTAATAAAGTGTTAAAAACGATACTATTTGTGAAATATATGGAGTATTTTTTTTTTAAGAGTTTGCCGCTCTATCATATCCTCTAAGATATGAAAA